TGTAAATATTAAAAAGTATAAGGATTTATTTAAAATTATCATTAATTAAAATTTAATTATATTTTTAATATAATTATAATTAATTTATAATTATTAAAAATAATAATTAATTTAAGTAATTTATTTATTTAGAATTAGAAGTCATAAATTATTTAAGTTAGGTCACCGTTAGAGGTGCACAAAAAATTCGAATATCTAATTTTGTGTAAAAAAATATCCGAAATCGGATTTGGGAAAAACCGATTTTTTTAAACCGGATCGGATATTTTAAAACCGGATAGTATAACCGGTTTGAGAAAAAATTGGACGACCGGATTTTTTACCACATTAAAAACCGGTTTGAAAAAACCGGATAAAAACCCGGTTTTTTATCCGAAAAATATCCCGTCTGGGGTTTAAAAAACTAGCTTTGAAGGATTATTTGGATAGAGCGGATTTTTTACTGGATTAAAAATCTGTTTTTTTTTAAAAAACCGGTTTTTTTCAAACCGAAACCGGTTACACCATCTGGCCCTCCAAACAGGTTAGAATCCGAACCGATTTTTTTAAAATCCGATTTTTTGGCTAGGTGAAAAAACCGGATCGGATTTAAATCCGACTTTGTGCATCCCTAGTCACCGTCGGAAACCTTAACTCGCCGGTAAACTCATCGGAAAATTCACCAAAAAACATTATATTATAAATCCAACGCTATCGTTTGTCGTCACCTAGTTCGTCGTCGCCCAGCATTCACCCAATGTCAGCCGTCGCCCATGAAAAACTCTGCATAAAGGTTAGCCGGCACCCCCTCTGTGTTCCAATTGGTTTGCGCCGGCGCCCCCGTGTGTTTCAATTGATTTGCACAAAGGTGGGTTTTAATTTCGAATGGTAAAATTACATTTTAACCCCCTATATTGTGTTTTATTTAGAATAGTTAAATTGCATGAAAACCCCTCATACTTTCTTCTATTTATATTTTAGACAAACGATGTTTTTGTTTTAATAGACATGGCAAAATTACAATACCCATACTTTTGTTTTAATTTAAAGGTCAAATTGCATGTAAACCCCCTCACTTTTCCCAATTTAGATTTTATACTTCTAGGTTTTAAATCTTTTATAATTTGTACTTTATTTTTTTTTGATAATTAATTTTGAATTTACACTTTTATTTTAATTAACAATTAATACTTTATTTTATTCATTTTTTATTAGTATTAATTTCATATCATTTTATATTATTTGTTATCATTAATCTTAACAATTTGATATTTAATTTTACTTGATATTAATTGTGACTATTTGAATCATGATAATATTAACTTGCTAATTCGAATTATTCTAAATCATATGCTTGTAGTTGTTTCTTATTGTTTAAATAGAAATGTCATAACATCAATGTACAAGTACCATACGAGTTGAACTTTTAATTCAAGAAATTAAATAAATATGTAACAATCATGACTTAGAAATGTATTGTAAATCTATGAATAAACCCACAAAAGCAATAAATAAAAGTTCAAATTTATTGAATCAATATGAATAATTAATATTAATAGCAAGTCAAACTTATGTATCAAAATTAATATTAAATCAAAAGCAATGATAAAAATGAATATCAAGTAAAAATTAAGCATCAAAATTAAAATTATCATGATTCAAATACTCACAATTAATATCAAGCAAAATTAAGTATCGAATTGTTAAGATTAATGATGACAAATAATATAAAATGATATGAAATTAATGCTAAAAAAATAATGAATAAAATAAAGCATAAATTGTTAATTAAAATCAAAGAGTAAATTCGAAATTAATTATCAAAATAAAAATAAAGTACAAATTACAAATTATAAAAGATTTAAAACCTAGAAGTGCAGGGAAAAGTGAGGGTGTTTACATGGAATTTGACCATTTAAACTAAAACAAAAGTATGGGTATTGTAATTTTGCCATGTCTATTAAAACAAAAATATCGTTTGTCTAAAATATAAATAGGAGAAACTATGGGGGTTTCCATGCAATTGAACCATTCTAAATGAAACACAAATAGATGGGGTTGGAATGTAATTTTACCATTCAAAAATTAAAACACACCTTCTTCGTGCAAATCAATTGAATCACACAGGGGCGCCGGCTAACCTTTATGCAGAGTTTTTTCATGAGCGACGGTGGAGTGTGGGTGACGAATAACAGGGTGACGGCAAACGGCATCCTTGGATTTATAATATAATATTTTTTGGAGAAATTTTTATGAATTTTTCGACGAGTTAAGGTCTTTGATGATGACCTAAATCAAATAATTTACAAATCCTAATTTTAAACAAATAAATTATTTAAATAAATTATTATTTTTAATAAAATAATTATAAATTAATTATAGTTCTATTAAAAGTAAAATTAAATTTTAATTAATGATTCCTTATACTTTTAATATTTACATAATAAATACAAATTTATTTGTGGTGTATTTCTATACATCGCTTTAGTAATACATTAAAATATGACTCTCTATATCAAATATAGATAAACCTCAAAACAATATATCATTATTTAATGATATGCAACCGATGATTACATAACACAACAAAGTTAAACTGAGGAGCTGGTTGGGCCATTAATTATGGACTGTTATGTTAATAATCATTAATTTAATCGGGAAACTTACAACCTCACCCTAGACCTCTGTAGGGTACCCTTAAATTTGCCAATTTATTATAAATTTGTAGGAAGGAAAGACAGAATCTTGTTGGGACATGCAGCAGCCAGAATCTGCGGACTCATGCTGGTCGAGTCGTCTCGTCTGCTCTTTCATCTTTTTGCTCCTCTCGTCGCACCCCATTTCCATGCATATGATATTTTCGAATATAATTATATGACAAGAGTATGATAAGAGGATTTTTACCATATAAAATCATGGTACAAATATACAAATATTTATAATATATATCTTCATGCATTATTGTTTCTTTCATGGTATTAGGTCATGGAGCTTGCACATTCATTTACTTGCAAAAGACTAGAGATTAATTAACATAATAAATCCTCTTATTAAATAATAATAATAATAATAATTTCATGGGTAGGTAAAAGTAAAATCAAGTTTCAATCTCTTTGTCCCACTAAGGTAAAAGTAAAAGTAATATATATGTATATATATAGGGTTAGTATCGACTAACACAGTGTAAAACTCTTTAGTTTTACATATATTTAGAACCATTAGATTAGTGAAAATAGATGGATGAGATTGATTATTTGTTTTTTCCCTAGTAAATATCTTCACATGTTCTACTTTTAATCTCAATCATCTGTTTTCACTCATCCAACGGTCCTAAATCTGTGTAAATCTAGAATATATATATATATATATATATATATATATATGATCCACTTACACAATGTAAAACTTTTTAGTTTTACACAGATTTAGGACCGTATGATTAGTGAAAATCGATGACACATATTAACAGTAGAATATGTGAAGATATTCACTTGAAAAAAATGAAGAGTCAATCTGAGCCATCTATTTTCACTCATCCAACTGTCCTAAATCTGTGTAAAACTAAAAAGTTTTACATTGTTAAGTTGATTCTAACCCAAATATATATATATATATATATATATATATATATATATATATATATATTAGTCTTATACTGATGTAAAATTACTAGATAAATATAAATTAAAAACAAAAGAATTTTTATAATTAAAAATAATTTTGAAAGAGTTCAATAATATTATATTATAACTCAAATTTACTTGAAAGATTTGAATTTAACTCGATTTAATTATCCATGTTCTTCCCTAAAGGTAAAGCTCTCAAGCCTATGTGGCTATGTCTTCTCCATAAACAAAAAGGTTTTGAGCTTTCAATATACAAGAATGAATTTTAGCGAAAAATAAATGTTGATCAAAATTATTTTAGGGATGTGGAGATGAAGGGCTAAATATTTAGGAAATTAAAGATGTTTGAACATTACATGAAGAAGTCGTCGATTGCAGTAGGCGACTTCAAGGGATGTCGTTGTCTCCTATAAACAAATTTTAATAATTTTATATATTTTTAAACTGAATTACTTGTTTGTGTAGGAGGTCCTACGTTATCAAAATATATATGTCTTTGACAAATAGCATGTGTTTATTTTTTGGGGATAAAATTCTCATAAATTTTACCTTATTTTTCCATTTTTTTCATCCTAGCCTAATCTTTACTTGTAATGCCATATAAGTGAAAGGTCTAGTCTGTCAGTTTTAAAGATGTGTCTAACGTGACATGATTTTATTTTACGTGACATAAAAATATGTTAATTTGAGATTTAATTCATAACGGATGTTAATTTAAAAATAATAATTTTTAGATGATATATATAGGTGGAAAAGCCTTATCCTTTATTATAAACCCTTAATTTTTATTCTCGTTATCTATTTTTTTCATTAATTTTTATAAAATTTTAAGCTTTTAAAAGTAAAAAAATTATTTTTCACATAATATTTATATATAATGAAAATTGAACTTACTTCCTCAAGGTAAGTGGACCTCAGTGTCACCAATCTTATTTATTTTGATTTTCAAAAAGAAAATCGTGGAACATAAATGACGGTAGATACTCTGACTTTGAGAAGAAAAAAAAAACTTTGGTAACATGAATATGGTCATTATCAAAGTTTTAAAATAGTAATTTGTTTTCGGAATAACAATTATTATATAGTGATTAAAGTATTGATTAAAATCGTTATTGTGTAACCGTGATACTCGTAGTGATCATAATAATATTCATTATTATTTTAATTACGATAAACATAATGCAATCGAAAAATAACATTCATCGTAATTTAAATGTCTTGTCGTTATTGATTACGTTATCAAAGGCCTTCAACCAGTGCATGAATTGCAGGAGGTAGCTATGAGCACTCAAACTATCTTAAATGTCTTTGTTTCTTTTTCATTTGTCCATTTTCGAAACAAAGAGAGCTTGTCAAGATTTTTTGCTGCAAGAACATATTGAATTATGTTACAAATCATGTCATTCGGACATCACAGAAATCAAACCAGATTTGCTTGAAAACCTTGACAATAACATCATGGTATTCGTTAGAATTGAGGGAAAGATAACAGGCAAGCAAATCCTCTAAGTCCTTTGATGTTCTTATGTTGTTCTCCATGATCATCTCCACCATTGATTCCCTGAAGTCCTTCTGAGGATCCGACGACGACTTCACCACCGCGAAGCTACCCGAAAGACTCGAACTCGACGACGACGACGACGCCGCCCTTCGCCGACCGTGAATCCTTCTGCTTACTATTCTCGGAGAGTTTACCCTAAGCTTCACACCGGGAGAATTCACGGTGAATTTCTTTACACCACTATTGTTCTTCTTAATTGTCTCTTTCACCTTGGCCGAGCTCCGATGACACTTGATCGGAGGGAGTTCAAGTTTGAGCTCATCGGCTTCGGAGCTCACGAGTTTACAGCTAAATTCAGTAGTGAGAATGCAGTCAGACCTGAATTCTTTCTGCAGATTAGAGCAATCATCGGAAGTTGATTTTCTTGGATTTATTTTCCCGGCAAGTTGTTTCGAAGATTTGGTCTCGAAATCACCACCGGGGATAAGCTCCCTGGTGAAATGATACGACTTTCTTGGACAAAAACGGTGGGGTTGCTCAGGGTTTTGTTTTCTCCTGGTATTATCATTACAGCGGCCGCCGCTGCTACTGGTGTGGTTTCTTCTGCTTCTGCCCATGTCTTTCAGCTTGTTAAACCAGACATTGGGTATCATGTCTGATAACCTAAACTTGTAATTGCCCATGATAAGAATCTATGTCTCTCTTCGTGTCGAAACGTTGATGGTATTTTCTGCAGAAGAAAATGCAGAGAGAAACACAGTGATGAAAAATGGTGAACGAGTGGGGGTCAAAGGAAAGGTAGAAAGAAAGAAGAATGGGTTTCCCGGTGGTCTCTGGCTTTTGCTACTTTATAACGCTTGATCATCAAACCAAACCTCAAATTTTGGATTCTTTATCATCCGCACTACTTTGTTCGCTTTCTCAAATACGTGTACAAATAATTCTTGTAAGGGTTGCAAATAATTGAATTCTAAAAGTTTAGGGTTAATTACATGATTGATAACTTATGTTTGTGTTCTGTCTACTTTTTCTCGTCGATATTAAAAAACATAATATATGATCACTTTCGTTTTTATTTAATTAAGATGTGGTCATCACGAGTTAACCGTCTTTAAATGTTTTGGTATGATTACACATTTGGTTCCTTCTATTTACATACTCTATCAATTTAGTCCTACGTTTAATACATTAAAATAAATTTAATCCTCCAATCGAAGATATCACGTCACTAGTACAACTGGCGTGTCATGTGTCACCATTCGGTTGGAAGACTAACTAAATAATAAATTAAAATAAACTAAAATAAAATTAGTCCTCCAATTGAATGGTGACATGTGGCACGACATGTGGAACCAATGACATGTGGCATCATTCAATTGTAAGATTAAAATTATTTTAATTCATTAAAAGTATGACAAAGTTGAGAGAATATATAAATAACAAGGACCAAATATGTGATCATACCAAAATACCACATCACCTAGTTAAAGACAGCTAACTCATGGTGACCACATCTTAACTAAATAAAAATGAAAGTGACCATATCTTAATTAAATAAAAACATTGATGAGGAAAAGTGGATAAAAACAAATATAAGTGATGTCAACATCGTTTTTTCGCTCGGGTGGGGGGAAAATATTGCGACTAAAAATGAATGGGGTTTTTCTTTGAAAATGTTTTTTTTGAAATGCTGGGAGTCTCCACCAATCATTTTAAGGTGTAACTGAAACACCAAAAATCAAGTAATTTCAATAAAACATTTTATTTTATCAAAAATACCAAATTTGAGTATATGAAAACCAGATTTTGGGTTCAGGGGTCAGTTATACGTGGGGATGGATTAGCACCCCACAACGCCTATAAATTAGTACATAGTCGATTACCCTATATTTAAAATTAAAAATTTTGGAGTTCGAAGTTTTATTTAATTTAGAAATCACTATGGATGCAAAGTTGAAGAGGGTGCTCGTTTATTAAAGCCAATAATATTCACCTCCTAGCATGAATGTGTGAGATCAATCATTGTGCCCAATAACCAGACATTGCCTCAAAATTTAAAAAAATGAAGGGTTTTGAAAAGGATGTCCATCTACTTCAGGAATTATCAACGGTCACCCATGAGCATAATACAGAGGATAAGCCATTAACTCCTTAGTAAATCAACATTGCCTTGTTATTTTAAATCCAAATGCAAGCAAACAACTTTTTATTTTACCTAATTAGGATATGTGAGTTAATTAAGGCTTTCCCTAACCTAAAGTGTCAACTTATGTAATTTAAAGAAACTAGAGGACTAAACCTAGAAATGGAGGCTCTAATATTAATCCTATTTGATTTTAACGAGTTATTAGATCGAATAATCGAGATGGTCCCTTGAGCATGCAGTCAAGGGCCAACTCAGACTACTCCCTAAATTAAATGGCTAGATAGTAATTTGCCCTAAAATGGAGGCTCTAATTAACCTAACTGATTATTTCAAAAAGAATATCTAATTAAGGATCTAAAGGAGTAAATTGTGAAAAGTCTAAGGTTAAGGCTTTAATTATTAACCCTAATTAATTCTCCTTTTTATTGAATTGAATAATCGAAATGAGCCCTCAGGAATCTAAATGCGAGAGCCAAATCAAATTATTCTTAAATTAAAGTCTAGGTGTGAGAAGTCTAAATCTAAGGTTTAAATCTAAAATCTAAGGCTCTAATTACTAACTAAACTAAGGATCTCGAACTAAAAGATTCATCCTAAAGTCTAATTGATTAAAGAAAAATGCTAAACTTAAAGGTAAATAAATTAAAACAATTAAAATTAAAGAATCAATAAGCATGCAAGAAGGAATAAAATTAAAGAAACAAAATTAATAATTTACAAATTACAACATGAATTTACTTAACAAAATTAATACTATGACTAAATAACAAATATTAATCTAAGGAAATCTACACAATCAAGACATGGAATTTGAAATAAAACGAAAAAAGAAATATGGGATCAAAATGCAAAAACACAGTAAATGTTGGAGGACTTGAAGGAAAATAACCCCAATAGAAATTACTAAAACATAAAAACTGGAAATAATAAAATAAGGACATAAATTTTTAAATAATATGGATTAAATTGATATTGGTGACCAAAATGTAAGCCGATGAAACTTAGGATGGTTGCGGGTGTGATTTGACCACCAGGGACCAAAACGCAAATGTATAGTCCAAAACGGTGCCATTTTGCTTTGGGTATAAATATCATTTATCATTTTTTCATTTTAAGCATGTTCACTCTCTCCCCTCTTCAAAGCTTTTTCCTTTCTCTCTAAGCTTCTCTAGAAACCGACGAGAGCCCAACCGCTGACAGCCGCGTCGGACACCACCGACCACCATCGTTGGTGGACGTTAGGTACTAAAAAACACGGGGAGGTCCACTACAACGCCGAGAGTGTGGATCCCCGAGAGTGTGGATCCGGGCTCAGTTTTGAGATAATCGACCCAACTCCATGGAAACGGTCGAGAACGCTTCGGCTTTCGAGGCTTCAATCACCTCCGCCCACCGTCGGATCAAGTTGTTTTTCAAGTATGTTGGTCCACCCATCGATATACTCCTCCCCACCGTTCAGATAGCCACTGGAGGTCCCTAACGCCAGTTAAAGGTCCAGCTGAAAGGTAATCCTCTTTTTTGTTTTTTACTTTGTTTTGAAATGTTTATCTCTCTTTAGTTGATGAGATTTGTTGAAATAAAAAAATAAAATGGTGCTTGATTCCTTTTTGCTGAAAATGAGAAGAAAAAAATTTATTGCTTTTTGAATCAAAACGAGGAACCCCTATTACATTGCTTGCTTTGGGTTTTATAATAACCCGGTTACAACAATAAAAAATAAATATTACATCTCTGATTTGGGTGTTTTTGGGGCAGTTTGCAGGAGATGGAGATGGCAGTAGTTGGGGCATAGGCACCAGCATGAGATGCCCGAATTTCGTGGGATTTACGTTCCCTTTTTTTGTTTTTATTTTTGTAAATAATAATATAATAGATATATTGAGGGTAAAAATGGTGATTAAAGTTGCCCCTATTTGCTCATTGTTGTGGAACATGAATTAAACAAAGATAATAAACACATTTTTTTATCCAGCTTGAGCTGCTGAAATGCTTGAGCTACAAGTTCTTCTTATTATGAACTCTTCACTCTCATGTTATGAGTTCTTCTCATTATGAACTCTTTATCGGGAATGTTTATCCACCTCATTCTGTAATGGAATCAAGTAAAGGTGACACTGATTGAACTCCTTATACAATGGAATCAAGCAAAGGTGATGCTGATCTAACTCCTTATACGATGGAATTAAGTGAAATGGTGATGCTGATCTTACTCTTTATGTTATGGATGAGCCAAGGTTTGAACATTTGCTTGTCATTAGGAACTTTTTCCCTGGAAATGCTAACCCACCTCCTCATTCTGTGATGGATTCGAGCAAAGATTGAACAAGTTCTTCTCATTGTGAAATTGGTTGAACAAGTTCTTCTCATTATGAACCTCTTCTCTGGAAATACTGGTACATCTCCTTATATGATGGGTTTAAACTATCTCGAGTGAGATGATGTTGATCCAACTCCTTATGTGATGAAATCGAGCGAAGTGGTACTGCATCCAACTCCTTATGTAATGGATGAGCCAAGGTTGAACAAGTTCTTCTCATTATAAACTTCTTCTCCCCCATTGGATGAGTTCTTCTCATTTTGAACTCTCCACTTGAAATGTTGATTTATCCCCTTCTGTGATGGAAAAACCAAGGTCGAACAAGTTCTTCTCATTAGGAACTTATTATCCCTCATCGAATGAGTTCTTCTCATTATGAACCCCTTTATTAGAAATGTTGATCCACCTCATTATGTGATGGATGAACCTGAAAAAGAAACTAATGTATTTGATTAGCACGTCTGAATATTTATTTTTATTATTTATTATTTGTTAGAAATGATAGTCTTATGTGAGACTAAAAAAATGATCTTTTTATCTCAAGGGAGATAAAATCCGATTTTCAAAGTACGGGATTTCAAGAAAAGTTTAAAAAAATATTCTGAGTGAGGAAAAAATTGTTTCAAGAGCAACATCCTCATGTGAGATAAAAATTTTATTTTGAGTAAAATGATATTAATATTTATATTTCAAAGGAAACTATTTTATAGAAGACAAAATTTGTTTAAAAAAATATTAAGTAAGATAAAATTCGTTTTAAGAAAAACAATCTCGAGTGAGATGATTTTTTTTTAATAAAAACAATCTCGAGTGAGATAAAATCTTGAGAGAAATTAATGGTTTTTTGAAATTTGAGTTTTGAGGGAAATTATCTCAAGCGAAATGATGTTGATGAAACTCCTTATGTGATGGATGAGCAAAATGTTAATGTTGATCCAATTCCTTATGTGATGGACGAACGAAATGTTGATGCTGATCCAACTCTTTTTGTGATGGATAAGCCAAGGTTGAACAAGTTCTTCTCATTATGAACTTTTTCTCCCTCATTGGACAAGCTCTTCTCATTATGAACCCTTCCATTGAAAATGTTGATCCACCTTCTTCTGCGATGGGTGAACCAAGGTTGAGCAAGTTCTTATCATTAGGAACTTCTTCTCCCTCATCGAACGAGTTCTTATTATGAACCCCTCCATTAGAAATGTTGAATGGTCTATCCTCTCTTTGAAGAGTTTTAAATCTGCAAAAGATTATCATATGTCAGTGACATGTATTAAAGTACCCAAAGGTTGTGACCCGATGGTCCTCAATTATTTGTTGAGATCCACTTCTTTCAATGATGAA